CCATAAGCTGCAGGCATCTGACATTAAACCGAACGGAGACACGGGGGGAAGCGGGTTTTCGGCAATAACCCCTATAAAAGCAAAGGCTGAGGCGTGTGGAGCTGGAGTGCCTGTAAAGTTCCCTGGCTTTCCAGCAAGTGCCAGCTAAACAGGGAGACTTCATCTCGCTGGGTGCCCGCCACGATCGGAGGGGCGAGAGAGGGCGGGGCCCCCCGCCTCGCAGAGCCGGAGCGGAGGGCTGCCCGCATGTGGTTCCCAGGAAGGGAATTTTTTCCCCCCCCTCCTCGGTTTTGTTTTTATTGACAATAGCTCAAAGTGCCAGATGAAATTATCTCTGGGTGAAGGGGAGGCCGAGTCCTGCTCTGCAAACACAGCGTCCCGACTCGATCTTAACCTCGCCGCGGCTTCTCGTATCATGACAGCACTCGGGGGCCAAGCTATTCTTTCTCCGAACTGCTGCTTCTGCCTGCTGCCTTGCTGGTCTCCGTGTAGGATAATCTCCTTCTTCCTGTGTGAATTAGGAGGAGCAGCAGCAGAGGGGCCCCTGGACCATCCCGACTCCAAACAAAACACCGCTGCAAATAACCCTCTCTTCCCTCCCCTCCTTTCTCTCCCTTGCTGCGGAAGAAATGTTTTTCATCTCTGAGCGTGCTGGAACAGCCAGGCAGCAGGCAGGCAGCCCACCAAAATCCATTTCCAGGAGAGTTACCTGGGGAAGGGAAGGGTGGTGGTGTGCCGGGACCCGGAGGACTTTGAGGCGATATCCCAGCCGCTCTCTCAGATTTCCATCTTGTCACCTTTGCCTTGTGAGACAGGATCCCACGTTATATTTTGCTGCGGTGGTCTCCCCGCTGCAATTTAAGGTGTTGTCTACAATATGGAAATGCTTTAAGTGTCCAACCACAGCCAGAGCAAACCTCAGCCTGAAGAAGAGAAGGCTGCGAGGGGACCTTATAAATGCCTACAAATATCTGCAGGGTGGGTGTCAGGAGGATGGGGCCAAGCTCTTTTCAGTGGTGCCCAGTGACAGGACAAGGGGCAATGGGCACAAACTGAGGCACAGGAAGTTCCGTCTGAACATGAGGAAGAACTTCTTCCCTCTGAGGGTGACGGAGCACTGGAACAGGCTGCCCAGGGAGGTTGTGGAGTCTCCTTCTCTGGAGATATTCAAGACCCACCTGGACAAGATCCTGTGCAGCTTGCTGTAGGTGATTCGGGAGGGGGGTTGGACTAGATGACCCACAGAGGTCCCTTCCAACCCCTACTATTCTGTGATTCTGTGATTCAGGAAGGTGAAAGTGGGAGAGGAATTTTCCAGGTTCTTTGTGATTTGTTCTGGAGCAGTTGATTGTCAATGGCTGCTAACCCGTCGGAGGAGAAGAAAATTCCTGTTGTAGGCAAGGCAGCGGCGGGCACGGATTTCTTCCCTGCCTCTTTGTTGAAAAGCGTTCTTTGCCGCTGTAGCCTTGCAAACAACAGCTCTGCTCCACCTCGGGGTTGGCTGCGTTTCAGCAGCAGTGGGGGTTATGAAATTCCTGCATTTTTAAGGCTGATGTATATGCCGCTTCGCATCGAAAGCGTGCGGCGGCGTTTCGGAGTGCTCCTCGCCGAGGGTTTGGAAATCGCTGGGCCAGTTGGGACTTGGGAAGTGTTCATCTGAGCAACTGGTTCTCTGCAGAGATCTGCTGGAGGGGGATGATGACATGCCTCCTTCCAGAAGGTTTTTAACATTCCTGGGATTCCAGGAGAGGGGTCTCTGGGGAAAAAAAGAAAAGGAACCAACTTCAGATTGTCATCCCCAGGAAGAGTCAGAGCTATGAGGCTTAAAGAAAAACCTTGGCTTTAGGTTTGTTTGAGAAGGCAAAGTCTACTGAAACAATTCACTTCGGTTTGAAAACAAGAAGTGTAATAAAGGGGAGGCAAACATCTGTTGTCTTTGGCAATGTTTCTCTGCCAGTTCTCTGCTGGGCACCAGAACGCGGTCGGATCTGCTGGCTGCCTCAAGATCGGGTTGCTTGGTGACTCTGCCCGAGCAGCCTTTCTGCTTGGGGGGGCACAGTGCTGCACAGCACCCTACCAACCCCTCCTGAACTGGTGGAAACGGGGAAACTCGCAGGGAGAGCCTGGAGGGGAAGGGTGGGCTGGGTGTGATGGTATCTGGTCTCCTCGAATCCTGCTTGTGCTCAGCATCTGGTACTCGCTCCCAGAAGCGTCGTTGTTGGAGGATATCAGAGCTCGCCCTTTCAGAAATCATTCCATGGCTGCAAAAGCTGACGTGAGGTTTTTGGGTGCAATGGCTTTTGGCTTTGCAGGTAGCACCCCGAAAGGCTGAGGCTGCGCGGGGCCCAAGCTTGTGTCTTGTGTGGCTGGAGAAGTGAACAGAGTGGGTCTCGATTCCTTCAGATATCCCCCAAACCTGAGAATAAACGGACTCCAAAACTTGTGTTACGCAGAGAAGTTTGGTTTTTTTAGACAAAGGGACTAGAAAAATTGCTGTGAAACCTGAAATCTTCTCTGTATGCAAGCAGATGTGGTCTGTGATGGGCTTACGCATGCCCTGGCCTGATCCAGGCTTGCAGCCCCCTTTGCCCCAGCCCTGTGTGCGGGGGCTGAGTTGCAAAAGCGCTTGTGACCCTGCGCCGGGTGCCCTGAACTCGCTGGGTCCGTCCGACGCGCGGAGCTATTGTGAGAACTCTTGACACTTTGGTTCCAGCCAGTTACGCTGGGCTCTTTTCCTGATTGCTCTGGGTGTTTCTTTCTGAAACCTCCAAAGCACTCTGCGAGTGCCGGTTTGGGACCTTAGAGGAACGAGTAAATCAAAAGTATTTTTAGACTGCTGCCATCCCAGACCGCGCAGCCGCAGAGCACGTGCGGCGTTGTGACTGCCCGAACCCTACCGAGGCCGGTGCTGCTCCCGAATGATTGCTCTGACCCGGGTTCTTCTCGTGTGCCGGCGTGGAGAGTTGGGTTGGTGACCTAAAAGCAGTGCTGGAGCCGGCCAAAGGGGGGGCTGGGGAAATGGGGGGGGCTGGGGAAATGGGGGGGCTGCTCTACTGCAGCTGGGACTCGGGTCTCTTTGGTCTTAAACCAACAGTGTAACCAAAAGGGGTAATAAATCATGGGAAGGTGAAGGATCTGCCCTGTGTCACTGGGGTAGGATGCTTCAAATTTGACACAGCTTCTTGTGGCTATAGGGGTTGTAAACCTGTCTGGTTGCAGCTGGTTCTCTGTTAGGACTGGACTTGCTAGCTGGGTTGTTCTCTGCTATGAGAAAGCAAGCTTGTTAAACACTAGTT